TTTTGTAGGCATTAAACTGCCAGAATTTTAAAAGAGGATATCTCCGTTTGCATTGAACTTTCAGCTTCGTAACTTTGCAGATATTGTTTATGCTCAAACAGCAACATTACACACTAACTAACGTTAAAAAAGTGAAATCGCAATGAACCACCCCTTTAATTTAAGCTGAATATTAACCTATGTAAAAATTTACACCGGGATAAAGTTACTAAACTGAGAGCAAAAAAATTGGGAGTGAAGCTTTTCAGGATTGTTGGCAAATTCTGTGTGTATTTACTCTTGAGGGTCTTTGTGAGAAACCAAGCTGGTTTTTGATTGGCTGACCGGTCGGATACTGGCTAATGGGGTAGAATAATGCTGGCAGAGACCAGCGCCGTACCATCTGTCTGTAAGTGTGCCACTGCCGCTTCCAGAGACTCACGGATCACAACACACAGGAGAGAACAAATTTAATCGCCCGGGGTGAAGTGTGTTTAGACGCTGGAAGTTTGGGGGATATTTATCCAACAAACTGCAAGAGGGCATTTGATTAGATGACAAATAACATGTTCACAAACAGAACTGTTATGCAAACTAGTTTGGTCATAATTACGGTTTTACCATTTTTAATCAGTTTTGCTGATACCTAAACAGCCCTGCGGTGATACAAAAGAATCTTGAAAAGAGTCGGAATGATTATTAAAATGGCAATTAAAATGCTTAATAAAAGGGACGAATATTAAAACTTCTTTGCAGTGTACCAATTAGTCCTCTATTCATAAAACAATATTTTCATTAGCCAAAAAGTCTGCAGGCAGTCTGAATATGAGCCCAAGAGAGTCCAGAGTCCTTCTCTAAGATATAAAACCAGAGACTGTGCGATTCAGAGGTTGTGAACATTAATTGCTTGCTGTCTGACTGTAGTCCGAGTCTTCTGAAGTCATATGATAGTCTTGTTCGAGGAACAGACCAGAGCACTTGATATTCACTGATAATCTTCCACCGCAGCTCTCAAACGAATGGCGCTTATGGCACATATTTGACATCATGACTTGGCTAGAAGAATGTTATTGACAACAAACCTGTGGCATGGGCTCCACAGGTTGTTGGAGAATAATAATAACTCAAATATTGGTCTAAAGAGACAACAAACAAATGAATGAGCCAAACATGAGAAAGGATGACAAAAGAAATAACAAGAAAAACGATGAACAAAAGAAGAAACCAAAAACAAACAAATAGAGAAAGAAATGAAGAACAAAATAATGGATAAACTAACTGTAATAAACAATAAACAACTGAACAGACAAACAAACGAAAGAACAAAAGAGCCACCAAACAAACAAAAGAATGGACCGAACAAGAAAAACAATGAACAAAAAGAATGAACACAAAAGGGCCAAACTAAGAAAACAAAGTGCAAACAAAAGAGGAAAAACAGAAGAACAAGCAAATGAACAACTGAGCAAACAAACGAATGAATACACAAATGAACGGAAGAATGAACAAAAGAAAGAATGAACAGCAGAAAAAACAATTGCATCAAAAATGTCACAAAAAACAAAGAAAAATGTAAATTATTATTTTCCAAATTAATTTATATGTTGTTGCTACAGTAAATAGAATATATAAATACAATTTTAATCTTTTTTTAAGATTTGTATATAATATATATATATACAGTGGGTACGGAAAGTATTCAGACCCCCTTAAATTTTTCACTCTTTGTTATATTGCAGCCATTTGCTAAAATCATTTAAGTTAATTTTTTTTCCTCATTAATGTACACACAGCACCCCATATTGACAGAAAAACACAGAATTGTTGGTTCCCTTTAAAATCTTAAATGATTCCCTTTGAGCTAAATTGACCTGTTTCCCTTACAAATATAATGTAATATAATACACTGTAGTGTGTGTGTGTATATATATATATTGCGGTTTATATTTATTTCGGTTAGGATGCTGCCTGATGGGCCGTTCACAATGACAGCGATTCGCAGAGTTACCGCAAACTGATGTGATTCTTTTTCAATAAGAGTTGGCATCTTGAGCGACAGTGACCGTATGATATGACTGCCAGGCACAGTTCAATACTGCTGTCGAGTTGAGATGCCTACGAGCAACAAGCAGCGTAGCGACCCAACAACCTGCGGTGATTTAATCGCTGTCAGTGTGAATGCACCATTAACTACCTATGCAGACAGTCAGACGTCTCAGAGCAGAGCAGCACATCCTCAAAAATGACTGAAAACAGCTCTAGTTAGTAGGACTGCGCGGTTCATTGAATTTTAGTTTTATGAAACGATTATGAAAACATGATAATCAAGACAGAATGACTCCGCATGCTGCATTCCATTCCTTTCATTTCTTTGATAGTGGTGAGCTTTTGCACCGCCTTAAAAAGTCCAAACTTAACATCCAAATCAGTCAAATCAGACATGGCTATTGTAAAATGCAGTCTACTGAAGGACATGCCTGATATTAAAAAGAGTTATTAAAAGCGTACTAAGCTGCGAGAGAGAACTTACGCTGTGCTTACGCCGCGGCTTTCTGTGCGATATAAACACAATTCTGAGAAAAAATAATTATATATATATATATATATATACACTGTATATATATATATATACACATCATAATTCAGACTTTTTTTCTCATATTTGTGAGAAAAAAAAGTCATAATGACGAGATATAAACTCAGAATTATGAGAAAAAGGCAAGAATTGAAAGATATAAAGTCGCATTTACTTTTTTTATTATTATTATTATTTTATCCCATGGTGGAAACAAGCTTCCATATTAATGTAAATCAGTCAAACAAAAGAAAATGAGAAAATCAATCACTGCTCTTGACTGAATTACTTAACTGTAACTTTAAAGGGTTAGTTCACCCAAAAATGAAAATCCTGTCATTAATTACTCACCCTCATGTCGTTCCAAACCCTTAAGACCTTCGTTCATCTTCAGAACACAAATTAAGTTATTTTTGATGAAATCTGACAGCTTTCTGACCCTGCATAGACAGCAATGCAACCGACACCTTCAAGGCCCAGAAAGGAGGTAAGGACATCGTTAAAATAATCCATGTGACATCAGTGGCTCAACCGTAATTTTATATAGCTACGAGAATAGTTTATGTGCGCAAAGAAAACAAAAATAACGACTTTATTCAACAATTTCTTTTCTGCCATGTCTCCACTGATGTCACATGGACTATTTTAGCAATATCTTCACTACTTTTCTGGGCCTTGAACGTGTCAGTTGCGTTGCTGTCTATGGAGGGTCATTAAACTCTCGGATTTCATCAAAAATATTGTAATTTGAGTACCGAAGATGAACGAAGGTCTTATGGGTTCAATAGACATGAAGGTGAGGAATTAATGACAGAATTTTCATTTTTGGGTCAACTATCCCTTTAATACGAATCAAGAAAGGTAAAAAAGAATAAGAAAGATATCTTAATAAGAAACAAATGTTTTATTTTAGATTTGATTGTTTCTGTAGCAGTATGGTATTAGCTGAATACTATACTGTTAGATAAACTTACATGAAAAACTGGAAGCATTGTTTATTTTATTTTAATCTTTTTATTCTATTGTATTTGTTTGATTGCAATTTGCTTTTTTGTTTTTATTGTATTACTGACTGTTTACTTGTCTTCAGTAATTGTTTGAGGACTTTTTTTTTTACTTTAGTTAGTCTAGTATTAGCCTAGTATCTGTTGCAACTGGTATTAAGAACTGCAAACTTTCACTGGTCTCTAAAATTATGAAGCAATAATCATAAAATCAGGAACCTTATTTCCAGCAGAATATACTTGATATACTGTATAATGCTATCATGAAAAAAAACTCATAAGGTTTTGGTCTTAATTAATATTACTTAATAAAAAATAATAAATAAGTAAATTAAAATTAATAAATAAAAAGTATTAAACCAAAATTATTTATAAAATTTAAATTTTACCTAAATAATAATAATATATTTTATCATATTAATAGTTAGACAACAGGCTCTACATAAGGACTCAAAACCGAACATGATGTCTCTGTGTTCTTACCTGTTGAGCCAGTGTCCAAAGTCGGGCAGGTGCGCCCACTGCACTCCGGTCTGATTCAGTGACCTCAGCAAGCGGCAGCAGGTCAAGGTCAGCAGTGGGGTCGCCAGTGCCAGCCATTTCTCTGAGCCCCAACTCATTCCCAGCTCCACCACCGGGGAGAATGACGGTCCTTCTTCGGTGCTGGAGGGAAGCAAAAGCCCCTCGTCCTCCTCCTCACATCGATGCCTCTGTTCCCTGAAGTACTTCCTGCAGACGTCCTGGAAGATGGCCAGGCACAGCGTGTTGAGCAGGAAGTACCAGGTCTGGTGCTCCTCCTCTATGAAGCTGCTGGAGCCCAAACTCAGGGTGTGACCCACCGTACCGATCAGCAACAGAGCGTCCAACTCCGACAGAGTCCAGTCAGAGCCCTAGAATAAGAGAGAGGTTACTATTAGCCTCCTTGTTTCAAACCTAGTGAGCTTTCTCACTGTTTACTACTCCCTACATAGGCAGCTACCTTCTAAGGCAGCATAATAACTGAAATGGAGCCTCGTAAGTGACTGATTTGGAGATTTACACAGACAGCAACTCTGTATATCAAAGAAAATAGTTGATTCACAGAAAATACACAGCAAAAACACATGCATAAGTTACTGATTGAACTATAGTTTTATTAATATAATTTGCAGTACTGAATGAAATATATGTTTAATCAAGAGGATTTCTAGGATATTTTTCTTCCATTGAGCTTCTGAGATGGACTTGAGTTGGTAGGATTTTTTATTATTATTATTTTTGGAATTTCTTATGCTCATTTAATTGTTTAAAAATACAGTAATAACTTTAAAATTGTGAAATATTTTTTTTTTTTACAATTTATAACATCTGTGAATATATATATATATATACTTTGTGAATATATTGTAAAATGTATTCCTATGACGCAAAGCTGAATTTTCAGCATCATTACTTTAGTCTTCAGTGTCACATGATCCTTCAGAAATCTTTCTAATATGCTGATTTGCTGCTCAAGAAAAATTTCTGATTATTATCAATGTGGAAAGCAGTTGTGCTGCTTCATATTTTTGTGAAAAACCATGATGCATTTCTTTTTCCAGGATTCTTGGATGAATAGAAAGCTAAAAAAAAAATAAAAAATCTTGTGAGCTTAATGAAATTTTTTTTTTAAATGTTGTTCAAAACATTTGCTGTTTCTTTTGAGGAGCACAAATGCTAAATGCATTCATGATACATGTACCAAAGAAAGTTAGCATGCAGTTTCTTCCACTTCTTTGGACATTTTATATGGCACAGAGCATGCTGTACCTCCAATTGTTGCAACACATTCACTACAAACATCCCGTCATCAACACATCATGTATGGCCATCTTCCATACAGACAAAAGTTTCCACAAAAAAACTAAACAATACAAGCAGTCAGATGTGAAGCATAGAGAGAGAAATGGAGTGGAAAAGGTGAAGCGGTGAGAGTTGAAAAGGGCAAAAACCACAAATAACTGAAAAATCTGACAGTTTGTGACAGTAAAACGCTGCTGACACTGAAGTCGCCGCTGTCCAACACTGTAAAACAACTCTACAGACAGCACATTGATGTGTAGAGCCCAGAGCTAACATACAAACACACTCACACACACACACGAGGTGAGAGCGCATGTTGTGTTTCCCACAGTGTGTAAGTGCAGGGCTGCTGGGAGCAGAGCAGTGTTGACTCAAAGGGAAAGTGCTAACATCCACACACACACACACACTTCTCTGGGGAATCCTGTACCCTGGTCGATTTCTTCACAATCACGCACAACGGTAAGTGATCAAAATCAGCCCAACTTAATACACAATTCTGGTCTCATTACGAATGATTCATCACTGCCTGTTATTCTGAAGACACAAATGTTTGTTTTCATTATCTTTCATTCAAATGTAATCACAATCTTTTGCATTCCGAAACAAATTTTCTTTTCTTCTAATCACAGACGCACAGCGGACAAAAATATTATTGACCAACTATATTTTTGTGAACAAAATGTGAGTACTGCAGTGGCAGATTTTTTCACTAGGTGTAATCAAATTAAAATCAAGTGACAATATCTGCCAGTGCAATAAAACACACACACACACACACACACACACACACAATAACAACAACAACAACTAATAAATACATAATAAAACAGCTTCATAATATCTTGTTCAGTTTTGCTTCTCCAGTAAATGTATCATGCTTCAAGGAGTTTAAAAAGATGAAATAAAACAATAATAAAGGAATAAAAAAAAAAATATATATATATATTATTGTATTTCTACAAATATAAATAGTGTATGTATATATGCAAAATATTACATAAAATATACAGGTGCATCTCAATAAATTAGAATGTCGTGGAAAAGTTGAATTACTGAAATAAATTAACTTTTCCATGACATTCTAATTTATTGAGATGCACCTGTATATTACATATAAATAATAGAATATATAAGAAGACAATAATAAAAATTGTTGTTGTGATTTGATCTAAACGAAAACAGCGTATCCGTGTGGTGCGGCTGACACAGAACAACATACGCTGTTTGCGTCCAGCGGATACTCTCCAAAATGGCGCTACGGTGACAGAGGAGACGAATTGTTGAATAAAGTCGTTTTTTTTCTTTTTCTTTTGTGCACAAAAAGGATTCTCGTAGCTTCGTAAAATTACGGTTGAACCCCTGATGTCACATGGATTATTTTACCGATCTCCTTGCTACGTTTCTGGACGTTGATCGCGGCAACCGCTGCCTCCCATTCATCACCCGAGCAACACCTGGGTGGAAGTCATCCGGCGGGGGAAATGGATTGTGTAAGCAACTTGTGTTTGTGTAAACACCGTCTGGGACAAACTCGCTCTCGCTTCTCATTTCTGCGCAAACCGTCTCTCTTTACTTTTTCGCTTTTTCATATTGTCGGTCCCATCGAAGGGAATATTTGGATCCACGACCAAAAAGCAGCACAAACGCATCAGGAGTTTGTTTTCTGGGCTGCGTTCAGGTCTCCGATGGTTTCATCATTGCAGGAGCGAGCGCTGAGCTAACGGGGCCACGCGCAGTAATCTATATGCTAATCCAGAAACAGACAGAAATTCCTTCTGACGACAGGCTGTGTGTGTGTGTGTGTGTGTGCCTGACCATCAGGTCATGTGCAACTAAACAGCCTGTTTGTTTCTTTAAAGTAGACATATTGTACAGTATTTTATGCTTTCCCTGAAGTCCACTTATAATGTTACGCTTTCTGCACTGTAAATGGGTTTTTCATGAGCATTTTCCACCCTCTCTCTCTGACCCGTACAATTAAACAGCCTGCTTTTGCTGTTTTTGAGGTCAACATGAAACAGCATTTGCAGCCTATTTTACTTCTGCAATGCGAGTAGAACAGATTATTATTATTTAGGAAAAAAAAGTACTTTTATCCATCAGGAACTGAAGTGTACAGTGCGTGTTTTATAACTGAATGAATCTAAGATGAATAAAAATTAGTGTTAATTTTGTCAGCTATTTTTAATTTAGTCTTAGTCCTGTGTCTTAGTTTTTACCATATTTAGTCAACTTGTCCTGTTTTTGTCGACTAAGGCTATGTTCACACTTGGCGTCTTTTTTGAAGCTGTCAGCGTCTGTTTGACATTATAATCCTATGGAGTAAACAGGCCCGTAATCAGCTATGAGGCCACCGAGGTCCAGACCTCGGTAAATTTTTCATGTTAAAAAATAAAAATTGTTCTTTGAATGACTAATTTGCTGTTAAACTCCTCATATGAATGCCTGCATGACATGTATAATTCAGTTTAATTCAGTTTAGACAGTTTGCAAGAATGTTTAGCGTCCGTTTTTGCTGACAGTATACGACATTCGGTAAGGGAAACGCAAAAATGATCATGATATTATCTGTCATAAACGTTATCAACGCTGTCAAAAACAGTAGCATTTAACACTAGTACACACAGATCTGTAGAACAAGTAGGTTACAGAATGAAATGAAATACGCAAAACCTAGCCACGAAGAAGTCTATGCTTTGTCATTCAGTATAGTTAAATTTTCACAAATCATGCTATAAACTTGCATAAGAGCACTAGACAAAGTTATTGTAGTTATGTATTGTTGCAATAAACAACTGATAAAATTATCCACCCTTAAATATAGTAAAGTATTAACAAATTTTGATGCAATAAATAGGGTATGATTTAAAAATAATCATTCCTCCAAAACAGAGAAAACATCTTTCACAAACATCTACATGTCTGTCTCCTTTAAAGTGTTTATAGTGTATATGAGTTGTATTTGTAGGGGTTATTATAACACATATCTTTAACACCAACCCATATCACAATAACACTAATAAAAATAAGTTACATGACAGGGAAATTGTTTGCTTGTTTGGCATGACAAGAAAACACTTTGAAACAGTGCCTATTAATACAGTCAATATAAAATTAGCTTTCTTTGAATCAATTATTCAACAGAAATATGAATAGAGGCTAATTTGTTATGATTGTAATTTTTTGGATTTGAAGGTGTGATAAATTCACTTGTTTTCCACAATAATTTTTTTCAATTTAATATAAATGAAATAAACAATTCTACAAAATGTCAAATCAATGTGTGATTTCATAGAGTGCATCATTTTTATTAATAGGTGAGGCTTTTTGACTCCATTATACTACAACAATAAGCTCAAACAATCATTAAATAGCAGTTTGGCGAATATTGGTGAATAAGTACACTATTAAAAATAAAGGTTCCAAAAGGGTATGTATGTATGTATGTATGTGTATTCATTCATTTTCTGTGATGCCATAGAAGAACCATTTTTGTTTCTACACAGAACCTTTCAGTGACCAGTACTTAAAATTTTTTTTTTTTTTTCAAAAAAAACAAAAAAAGCTCTTTCAGAATGAGTACGTTATTACATTTTGATGAAAGATTACAAAGACCTTAGGAATATGCAAATGAGCACATTTGAAAACACATGCAGGACTAAGAGATGAGGTCTTATCAGAGTGAGAGTAACTTTTGAGTTTTGGATTATAATAAAAAACAAAACATCCTCTGAAGTGTCGAGTAAACATCTCTATTAACAAGGATGACAGCAGCACTAATTGATCAGGAGGCAATTAATGCAGACTAATTAAACACTGTGCCAGAATTCCCAACAGCAAGGGACATGAAATACAGACACAACCCACATTTGCTGGAAACAGAGCTGGAACCACCTTTAAAACAGGATTGATTTTTGTAACATTGATTTTTGTATATTACTACAATTATTTATTTATTTTATTTTGTTATTATTTTAAACATGACATTGCAAAAAATATTGTGCTATTATTGTCCTGCAAATGAAAAAAAAATTATAGGAATACACAAAAGTTACTGTCACAGAAACAAGATTCTTTTGACATCGCATCATTATCATCATCATCGCATCATTAATGCTTTTAGAATGATCATCATTCCCTAATTTCTACTGATCTCAGCAGTTCCAATAAGCCATCAGTGAAGGAGGTTACTGTCAATCATGAGCAACTTGCAGACGCTTTGCGTCAATCCCATGATTCACTTCACCTCTGTCTCACAGGTATCGGCTGAGGGGTCACTGTCACACATGTGGGAGTAACTCAAATTTCTGTCAAATTGGCCTGGATCCTCGGACAGCCCATTATATGGAGAATGAATTGGAAATACAGCCAATTGTCTCCTGGATCTGCACCTGTCAATTATACATCTGAGGCTGTAGTGCACTTCAAAGGGGCAACAGCCTATTTCTACGTAGAATTATAATTATTTTTTTATCACATATATATATATATGTATGTGTGTGTGTGTGTGTGTGTGTGTGTGCGCATGCACTGGTTTGGGTGGTTTATGAGGACACAAATTTGCATAATGACATGGGTATGACACCTGTATTAAAATGTGAAGAAGGTGGTTTATGAGGACACTTCCTGTGTCCCTGTAATTCAAAAGGATTAAAAAAAATCTAAAAATGCACAAATTTTTCTGTGAGGGGTTTAGGTGTAGGGTGATAGAAAGTACAGTTTGTACAGTATAAAACCATTACGCCTATGGGGAGTCCCCGTAAACCATTATATATATATATATTGATATTTATCATAATATTCTCTTACCATTAATGGGGAAGGAAATACTAAAAAAAAATGTAAATCCTGAAGAACATTTACTGTAGTTGTTAAAACTTTTATTATTTTAATGTTATATAACTATTTAAATTAAAATGAATTATTTTGATTCCACTACTAGTTTCTGTAAATCAGAAATATTTGAAAATGAGTAACATTTTTTTTAAAGAAATGATTACTTTTATTCAGCAAGGATGCATTAAATTGATCAAAAGTGACAGTGAAGACATTTACAAGGTTAGAAAAGAGTTCTATTTCAAATAAATGCTGTTCTTTTTTTTTTAAGTGGGCGTATTGTCAAAGCCGTCTTTTGACAACAGATCCTGTTCACACTTGACCTTTAAACAAGTAAAAGGACATTGCGTTTACAGCAAAGCCTGAGTCTAAAGTAACCACAGAGCTTCTCTACTCATCCTTAAATAAATTGTCAAGGATAAAACTTCAAACAGGATTTGTTTTTGGTGTTTAGAGCAAATAAAAAAATCTGAAACTCTGCTCGGTCCTCCAGAGACATTAAGCTGCTGTGTGTGATGCTTCTGATGTTCAAAACTTTCTCCCATCACAGCCTAAATGTGCAAAGACGACGACAAGACACATTCACAGGTTGACTTCGCTGAAAAGTGTAAAGACAGTAAACACGATGGCAAAACATTGCTTTGTTTGTTTGAGCGGTCCGACATGTCAAATTCAGTTTGTCCCACCAATGGAAGACGAGGGGCAACATTTTGTAAACAAATGATTCTTCACTAAATAGTAAAAAAGGCCCTAAAAAAGGTTTGGTTTCTCTAGGTCATGGTTTCTTTACTGGACACTGGTTATTTCAACGGTGACAGGAATAATCATTAATAACTTCTAACTAGGGCTGTCGATTTAACGCGTTAATCTAATTAATTAGTTATGGAAAAAAATAATGCACTAAAATTTTTAACACAATTAATGCACCGTCCCCGCCCCATGTACGTCAGAGCGAGTTGAAAGCATGCAGAGCCGTCTGCTCTCTTCCGAGTAGCACGAGTGCAAATGTGAGATTGATTTTATACAACAGTTCAATAAATAAGAAGTTAATATTGTATTATAGTTTAGACAAGATTTTCTGTTTTTGATCAGTTTTGCCAACTCAGATTTTACCAAACAAAGCCACAGCAGAACTGTTGTGTGTCTCCAAGCAATACACAATTTCTGAATGAATCGGGTGAACCAATGATTCAATGGCCCATTAATAAAGAGAGCCATTTACTTAATTCCTGAATGAATCAGCCGTTTGAACGAATCAAATGAATGAATCAAATGAATGAATGAATGAATGACTTATTCGTTAAAGGGGTCATATGATGCGATTTCAATTTTTCGACCGCTTCCTGATCCTGGGAGAGTAGACTACAATGCCGTCTGTTCTAACTTATATTTAAAGAGTTTTTATATTTTATATAATTAAAGACAGTTTTTTGGGCAGTGTAGAGTAGGGCTTGTTGTTTGCAATTTCTCCGATCACAAATGCAGACATGGTTTTATGTTCACGCGGCGCGATGCAAT